TAGCTGTTTATGCCGTTAGGTAAACGCAGTTTCTTAGTACCCAAGGGACTTGTTATTCGTCTATTTTCTACCAACTTTGATAAACATGTGATATTCATATCTAAAAATAAACAATGACATTATAATTTCAAAACAAACAATCCGATAAAGATACATAGAAGACCAGGTATATAACGCCCTATTGTTCCCGTAGCCGAGGTACTAGGGTCGCAGAATCATCGAACAAATCGTCATCTTGAATTCACATCACACGTGTGCGGGCGTCGGCGACCTATCGCCGGTACCGGACCGATCACGAGCTCATTGTCTGAGCCAGCGCGTGATGCACTCCTGGTCGTTGGATCACGTCTAATGCCCATTATGTCGGCTTTAAGAAATGTTCCGGGCTTCTAATTTTATATCCGTCACGTATAATTTTAATGATGTTCATGACCTGGATCAGGACTCCTTTGTATGTTTATATTATACAGTATTTTTTTTAGTTCAACAAGCGACAAATTAAAAAAAACTTGATTTAAATTCCGTGAGCAACATCATTAATGTATAAGATCTCACACAGTATAAGCAACATTAATGAATTTAAAAAAAACATAAGTAGCCTATGTGTTCTTCCAGACTATGTTCTATATGTATGCCAAATTTTATCGACACCCATTTAGCCGTTCTAGACATACCTTCAAACAAACATCCATTCATCTAAACCTTGACATTTATAATATTAGTAATATTACTTTGACAGGATTGGCTCATCTTGAAGATAATATTGGGATGTAAATCGAACACAGAATCGTTTATAAACTTCAACCCCGCAAGAACAATCTATCAATCAATATGACTAGATGTATTAAAAAGTCCATTCGCATCATTGATCCTGATTAAATACGTTTAGAAGGCGCGTGCGCACGAGAAAGGGCGCTATCTAGTTAATGAGCTCTGTGTTTGCACCACACCTTTAGATTGGGGGAAGCTTGATAAATTGTATCGTGAGAGTAATGAACGTTTTTTAGATATTTATCTGTACGACGCGGTAATTAATAGTTTTTGGTTAGGAGATTCGAATATATACAATCAAAAACTTTACTAGAATTACAAATTACTATTTAAGTAAGAAATATGAAGTTAACCGTGAGTTTCTGATACAAATATCGTTTAAAACTATTTTGCCTTACGGATGACAATATGTTTTATACAGAGATTTTTTGGTCTCAGAAACCAATGAATCATGTGTCTCTGTCCATATCAATAACATGAAGTAACTAATGTTAGTTTTAAATGATAATCTATCTATATTTCTTGTCTAAATATTGTTCAAATCTAATCTCCATCTAATTATTCTTCTTTACGATATCCTTAGTAACTCTATTGCAAAAATAAGCAAATGCATACATGCATACAATACGCGTAACAAAAAAAATACGGACAAAAACAGTGGTAGAGCTCGCTTTAACATCTTCGTACGAATTGTCCCGGCTCGCCTGGTGAAATACCACGACCACACAGAAGACAGGCGTAAAGTGGAAGAAATTCCGCGTTTCGTCCAATAAGTGTGCGTCCCGGAGGCCTAATTTAGTCCTCTTTCCCTTCCCACCCTTTTTCTCATAAGGAAAGGATGGGAAGTGGAAGTGGACTTTCCGGATGAGAGGATGCATGGAAAGAGAAAATATTTTCTTTCTGTGCGTCCTCTCCTCCGTCGATTAAAGGTAGGGAACGCATATGCAATTGCGTATGTCTATGAGCAACGGTCACTTCGCTATTTCAGCGATTTCAGCTGGCCACTCGCTCATTTGCAAACTTATGTTATGAAAAAAAAATTGATAACCTCTTTCTTGAAGTCGGATAAAAAGGTGTACATTTTTTACAGCTTTGTTTATATTAAACAAAGCTGTAGCTACGTAGTTGATATCATTAATTTATTTAAAAGGGGAGCCATTTGGAACGTTTTTCGTTTAATTTCCTCCATCAGCTCCATCCCGGTGGGATGTGATTGCTATCTCACGGTGCTTGCGTGTTTTGTTACAGTACGTTTATTAACTACCATTACCACGGCAACTCACGCGTTTATCGTTTTACGATCGAGAAAATCCACAATCCATATATTAAAATTGTGGAGTACTTTGCTTTTATATGGTTAGCGTTTCTTTTAACTTTTGTATCTATAGTATAAGAATTTGTATAGGATTTTAATGTACGTATTTAGAATTTCATATAATCTAACTTACTAATACTATAAATGCTAAAGTTTAGATGGATTGATGTTTATAAAGTATTTTCGAAACGGCTCAACGGATCTTGATGAAATTTGGCTTAACTGTAGAAAATAGTCTACAAGAACATATAGGCTAATTAGTAAGTTTTTTTTTAATTTAATTTTTTTTTAATTACATACGATACTTTTTATGTGAAATATTTTTTAAACTATAGGTAAACACGTGCCTAATTCGTTCACATGCGTCTAACTTGAATTTCAAACAACTATTTCGGACGTTCGCTTCGTATAAAAAATAATTATAAATATTATTCTTAATTACAATGGTAGGGGCTAACCAACCCCGGCGTGGCGCCATTCAGTGTTTGTACTTATGTCGGCCAATTTGCTGATTGTTAGGGCAGACCGCACTGCAGAGCAAATTGTTGGGGGTGGAGGATGCCGTGATATTGCACTTTAATCAGATCTAATCAAGGGATCAGTACACCTTTGTACATTATTTCAAAAGATTAGTCACCACTAGCTGTCGCTCGCGACTCCGTCCGTGCAGAATAAAAAAAAAACCTAATAAGTAGCCTATATGTTCTTCCAGACTATGTTCTACATCTATGCTAAATTTTAGCGAGATCCATGCAGTCGTTCTGGAGATACCTTCAAACAAACATCCATCCATTCATTCAAACATTCGCATTTATAATATTAGTAAGAAGATTCGACAACATGGCGCCTAAAATCCTTCTAAAAGGTTACTTAAAATTCGTTATTAGTATATTTACAAACGCTACAAATAAATTATCGGAATGAGTCCATTAATATTAGCGCAGAATTGATTGAATGACATATCTGAAGGACAGAACCTGATGCGATATACAGCACTTAGTGTAGTATAAGAACGCAGCCTTCCAGACATACATACATACAAAAATTTAAAAAATTGCTGTTCATTTATCAGCAACTTAAATACATAACATGTACGAAATGTGACATTATTTTTGTTTCATTTTTACATACAGACACTAAAATTTTATTCATATATAGATAAAAAAGTCTAGACAGGTATTAAGCAATTATGATAAAGTGTAATCCTTATGCCTACGTTTTGCTTAAGGCCAGTGATAAATATAATTTAGGATTAAAAAAAAATCTCAATGCTATAAAGCGCAGTGAAACAATCATTTTAGTTTCGAGCCTTATTTGAAGGCATCAATTTAAATAAAATTACGAGTGGTCCGTGGTAGCTTTTTATAATATTTTTAACAATGATTCTATGTCAGAAAGACCTTATGCTTGGCAACCCACAATTCGTAATGATGTTTGCTAACTTTCCCCCGAGATATGGCGTCGCGTTTTACGGGAATTAAAAACATTACCCCTTGTTCCACCTTCATTGCTTATCACTGATAATTATAATTAAGACTTTATGTTCTAAGACATTGAGTACAAATTTGAAATATAAGCACCGAATTACCGTGTGTATAAACGAGTAATAAAAAGTATATTATAAAAATGAAACCCTATTTTTATGAGATTACATCGAGATAAGTAAATTAATTTTGGCGTGGTCGACACCCCTACCTTTCTACTCTATTTGCAACTTATTCTATGTTGTGTTACTTTTTTTTTTAAATTTATTTTAAAATAAAAGTACTAATTGTTTTAATTTTTAATTTGATAAAAGTTTTAAAAAAAAAGTTTAATGCTATGCCAGATTATAAAATTTTACCATGAAAAAAAAAACTGACTTGTAGTTTTAGTCTATCTTATGGCGCGAAAACCAAACATTACAAAATTATGTCATAAAAATCTAATAGAAAACAAAATCAATGAAAACCAACTAACTTCCTACACCTGGAATCACCTGGTGTAGGAAGTTAGCTGGTATTTCCAATATAATTTTCAACAGAATAATAAATTATAATTTGAACAGTTTTCCCGCCAATTTGGTAACGATTAGCTTTATCAAAGCTGTACAGTCAGCATAAATATATATCAATATAAAAACTCTTGTAAACTTGTATATGCCGTTGGTTTAAAAATATGCGTTTAATCATTCATGTGCTTCCGACCACACCGAAGACCTGTCAAAGTGACTAAAATTTTGGAATACTTATGCAGACTGTACTGAGCATGCAGGTCATAAATTATTTTTTAATTTTATTAAGATTTTTAATTATGTTGATTAAAATCAATTAATTTTTTATAAAATACGTAATTAAGGTCTTTAAGTTTTTACCAAAGATAAAATAACCAACTCGCTGGCTGAATTTTAGTGTGAATGTAATTTTAAAAAAAACTTATTAATTTAAAATCTGTTAACACAAAAAGTTTTTTATAGCACAATAAAAATAACAAAAGAAAATGAATCTATCATATTGTGATTCAACGTGTGCCTAATTTGACACGCCCTTGTATCGAGATTAATAGGGGGCGATGTTTAGACTCTGGTCTCCATAGCACCGGGGGTGGGATAGTCAATCTGTTTGTCCGCCAGGGGGCGCTCAAATACCACATCTCGAGGGGGACATTGTATCATCTGATAATGCCATTTAATAGAAATTATAGCAAAGGTCAATTGGATCATGAAATATCATTTAATTTGATTAAACTATAAAAAACAATGAATAAATCTTTGGAGATAAAACAACTTAGGATTTTTGTCTTCAAAATCGATTGTAATTGTGACAAAAGATTCGAAATGTTATCAAAATTTGACATTTCGAATAATGTTTTCATTTTCACCGTAGACGTGATAATTTTTTTATAATCTATGTTCTTAATTGTCATATCATGACAACTCCATTTTCACATAACAAAGAAGTAAAATGTCACCATAACATGAAAAAATACTGATAATTTTTACCAATACCATCAAAACCATCGGCTCTGGGTATAAATAAAATTTCAACAATGGCGAATTTCAGATTGGGTGAATATGTTTATCACAAAGAAATTCCAGTAGCCAAAATTAATAGACCAGTGTTTGATAATGAATTCCTCGCTATGAAAGAGCATTTCGAAAATGAAATGCGTAGAATGGACCAGGAAATAACTAGATTCAGGTATAAATTTCATCTAATACATGCATTGTAAAGTAACACCACACAAAAACGAGTATTCCGAACATATCTTCAATTTTGGTTGGAAAGCGAGACTTCCCTTTTCCAGTCTCAAACCTTTTTTTATTTTAATAAGGGTAACACCGACCATATAAATTAGTAATTGTGGTATGTCATTAGATTGAAAATTCTAACATCAACGTATCACACTTAAAACTTGCATTTAATTTTCGCTAACTATATTAATCTATAGCTAACTATACGCCCTACAGATTAAAATGGGCACGTCTCATAACAGAACGGATAGACAAAGAAAAGAATACAAAAAAGTTGAAAAAAGATCAATCATTATCACCACTAGCGGAGATATATTCTAGAGCAACATCTTATAGTCAGCAAGACTTACAAGAGAAAAGGTGGTCTTATGTTACGACAATACCTGTACTCCGAACCTTCAAGCAGTCCCTTAGTGTAATCTTCATACTTCTACACTAAGAGATTGCTTTCATTTCATGACCAATTGTTTAATCTTAAGCAAAAAATATTAAATTAGTCTACACCTTACATTTTAGAATTACATATCCCCTTAATATCTAAATAATAGTGTGAAAAATTCGATCTGTTCCTTAAAGTAGGTAAACTGGTTAAACAAGTCACCTGATAAACTATTCTTCCAAAATACAATCTTTAAACCGTCATATTTGTTTGGTGTAAATTTGAATTTCTATGTATAAATACATTTGGTCATCTTTCAGCACAAATCTGACGAATCTTTACAGCATGGCATCATCGCATTGTAGCATAAATTCGTCGCAAACCCAGGTCCCTAAAGTGCAACTCTCCAATGAAAGGGACCTTCTAAAGAACAGTCCTCTGGTAGTTGGCGAAGGTGAAGACAAGAAACTCAAATTACAATTTGACCTTAGCCAATTCGATCCTTCGGAGGTTCGTTCAGTTTTTACCTAACCTATTTAGCTTACCAAGTAAAAGTAAAGACCGATGTCAATCCAAAATATTTAACTAGCACGATAAATGGTAACAGTGGGATCGCACTGCAAAAGCTAATTCTCTTACTAAAGACAGTTAACTACATTTTGTATAAGTTTTGGCAGTTATGGTTTGAATAATAATGTTGGCTGTAAACTCATTATATGCAATCTTTGAATATTTTTAATCCTTAAAGATGAAGGGATGCACACAAAGAGGATATTTGCTCCTCCTATGTGTCCCCTCCTACGTCAAATATTTTCTCTTAAATGGGAGGGGACAGGCGACTGTAAATAAGCCTCCGGCAGGAGCACTCGTCTGACGAAACGGGGAATTGCATCCACTTCACGACTGTCTTCTGCTTAGTCCGCAAAGGCATGAAAGAATTCATTTTAACGTCCCATCTTCTCTTTTAGGTGAAAGTAACAATAGTTGATGATATACTAATGGTGGAAGCAACTCATGTAGAGAAAACTCCGAGCATCACAATCTATAGAGAATACGCAAGAGAAGTGCAACTTCCGAAAGGTTTGGATCCTGACGCAATATATTCAAATCTATCAAGAGATGGAGTACTAACAGTTCAAGCGTCATTGTCACATGCACAAAGATACCCAGAGATTGAAGAGCCGAGAAGAGAAATCAAAATGAACAAGGAATCCGGAGTTAGTACCAGAGTTGATGTAGGAATTTAAATAGCAGAATTATTTGACATTGAATAAAACATACTCGGAAATAGAAAACAGGCTTCAGTATTTGTTAATCAGATTAAAAGCAACTAAATAACATTTAATGTTGTTTCATTCCTTTAGATTTACTATGCTAATACTGCACTAAGGAAGGACTTTGAGTGAAGCTGTAAATCTGATATGCAATGAAATGGGTAGACTTTTAATCTAATAAACTTTGTTGTATGTTCAGACAGAACGATTTCCTAAGCAAATTTCTAAATATTATTGTACTAATATTATAAATGCGAATGCTTAGATGGATGGATGGATGTTTGTTAGAAAGTATCTTCGGAACTCAACAGATCTTAATGAAATTTGGCACAGATGTAGAACATAGTCAGGAAGAACAATTAGACTTTTTAAGTTACTTATTAAGTTTTTTTTTTAATTCTATGCAGACGACAACTGTGGCGACAGTTACTTAATGAATAAATTAGTGAGTGAAATTCTTTTGCAAATTATACTGAGGTCAGTTGAAAGCATAAGTCGATAGAAGTCGCGCAATTACGCGGCGTCTTCTGGGAAGCGCGCGGCGGTTGTCATGACGACGCGCCGCATCAACACACCAGACACGTGTGAATATCCAGGTGACCTAAATGTGACTGCGATGTACTGAGATCTAACAAGATCCTTATAGTCTGATAGTCATAATAGATAAGTTAATCTGTTCATATATCTACCAAATATTCTTGCAAACAGTTTTAGACATATCAGTTTTCCCTAGCCTTATCCGACTCATGTAGGGTCGGCGCACGAGATTTTACAATCCTTAATGTTTCTTGGCTTAATATTAAAAACCTACCGCCAACCCTACTTGGGAGGTTTTAGAAATTATAATGAAAATTTACATCATGTTTTAAATATATCGATTGTTTGGTTGTACCAGCTAATACGGTATGATAGTATCGAGTCGTCATATATCTCATTTCGTAGGATTTTTTTAATAATTATTCTCAGTGTACCACAAGCTTTACCATCCACAGATCGATGTGTGCGTGTGCTGTTTATCTGGTGTCCACGTCACCTGATGGTATACACTGATACCGCGTAATGACAGCCAAAGTCCTTGTGTGAAAATCACAAGGGATATTTATACTAGTAAAATATATTTTTTAATAAAATGATTAGAAAAAAAAAACACTGAAATTATGAGAATGAGTGAGCGTAGGTTTCTGATACGATCTTTGTATAAACATATCGCTTTCCCTGTTACTACCTTTGAGAACACAGATATAACGATATTTTTTAATTGGAGATTTCGGTCTCAGAAACCGACGTTCAGACGGGTAAACAGTGTTTTAACACAACATACAACCAGTATCGTACAAATTTAAATAACATTGTAATCTGGCGGAGACTGAATCCATAAAATATTTATGTACTTACATATGTGAAAAAACATAAATTCGATCGCGGATTATGGAAACGAATCATTTGCGCATTATAGAAAAAAAACTCTGACAATCAAACCGTCACGTCGAAAAGGTGTTGAGTTAACAACGGTACAATCGATATATTATCTACACTACCCACCTGTAGTGGGTGCGTTTCAAGGGGTGTCTACGCAATACGCACATGTTTACTCTGACCTTTGTTAACTTTTCGATAATCAGCGCAACCCTAGCGTACATTAAGCGTGGCGGATTACCGGGAAAAAGTCGAATGACTTTTGTTTTTTTTTGTGTGATCAATGGTCCGTGCATGCAGGTTTTATATTTCTTAGTATTTATATTTTTTAAACAAATTAGTCGCTTACTTTTTTAATTCTTAACAAAATATTATGCTACTTTTTTCACTAAGTAGATAAAAATTAATAAAAACTGACATGATTAATTAAGCTTTTCTTGGAATAAACACAACTTAAATTATGTTTTATCTTTTTTTATGTTTATTAACAAAAAAAAATGACTAAAATGTGATTTCACGTCGCACATTTGTTACTTAAAGGACAATACGTAATCACCTTAGCCCTTCCTAGTTCCCTTGAACCGGCGAAGGGTTCCCGCCGGGTTATCGGTCTCCCGGAAATGAGGTTCGATTCCTCCCCTGCGCCGGAAGTGCACAACCGGGGGAGAGGGACACTTGATGTGTGTAACCATCTTACGTGACCGAAACAAATGTCCGAGTATTTTAGGAGACTTTAAAAAATATATTGAATTCTATGAAAATTTTTAGTTACTTCTATATTATGTGAATCTTTGGATGAATGGATGGATGGATGTTTATTAGAAGTTATCTCCAGAGGGTGCATGGATCTCGCAGAAATTTATAGTATAGATGTAGAACACAGTCTGAAAGAACACATTGGCTACTAATTATGTTTTTTTAAATATTTTAAGTGCGAATGGAGTCTCGGGCTACAGCTATTTTTTAATAATATTCCTATATTTATATACAGTGGAACATCACATCCTATAATACCGAGATATTAAATTCAGATTTCATTTGTTTTTAATAATTTATCAGTAAAGACCTCTTTTATTAAACGAGGTAAAAAATATATTTTTTTTAATTAAAATATAACTTAAAATGAGCGATCCGTAAATGTGGCATTAACTTTGCGAATCACCTGAACGACCCGAACCGATCATTCCCAAATTCACAATGTAACCTATAAATAATTAATGTATTAAAATAATCGAATTCGAAAACAATAAAATTGTACCAGCTGGCTTCGTAAACAGTTTTTTTACAGGATGATTAATAAACGACAGATATAAGACATTATAAAGAAGGGAAAAAAGTAAGCGAAAATTTACACAGAATTACTTCGAATGGAATTACAGGAAACCTTCTGTTAATTTTAAAAATCAAAAACGGCTCAGTATCTTATTAAAAAAATTATACCACAGGTTGTAAAGGATCTTTGGAATAAAGTAATATATTTGACTACCTTGATCATTGTCTACAGTTATTGCGAAATATTAAGGAATGGACGAATATTCCGAGAGAGAGACATAGAGAGAGAGAGCGATCATCGTCTAGCGTCCCCCCTCTTGGTCATCTGCCAGTCCCCCCCTTTTTTTCCAGAGAGGAATGCTTTATGCGTACTCCTCGCCCCGGGGGGGACGCGGTAGTTATGTGGGATTCTCCTCCATACCGGAGGCATACCCACTAAACCTCTCTGTTCCTCCAACGCATCGGGACGGGGCTGCAGGTCCGCTTTCGCTTGCAACCGCACCGGCCAGCCCCCCTACGAGTCCCTTTATGATAACAATTGTAAAATCATGAGGTAATGTCTGAATTACTAAATTAATTATTATAGGTGTTTGGTTATCCCTTAGTGTTGATAATGAATATACAATTTATGGTAGGAAATCCACACTCATAGACATATTAAATAACCGTTAAACAGCTCTAAACACGACAGTTAAAACACATTAGTATTATATTCAGTGTTATGAAAAAAATGTTTAATAAATGTAATTAAATAGCATTGATTCTTCGATTTCATGTTTTAAAAACGGCACGCGCAACACCCATAACATACAGACAAAAGAATCCGTTTTTAAATATTATCATTTGGTCTGACCAATCGTTTATATTAATAGAGTACATTATATACACACGGCGCTTTAAAGTATATAACAATTAGCCCGTCCCACTTCCAACAAAGAATGTAACTTTTAGAATAAAACTAAAAGTTACATTCTTTGTTATAATAAATCTTATTAATATTATAAATGCAAATGTTATATAGATGGATGATTGTTTTAAGGTATCTCCAGAACGGCTGAATCTTGATGAAATTTGGCACACATATAGAACATAATATGGAAGAACACATAGGCTACTAATTATTTTTTATTTTAGTACGCTAGTTTAGTAAGCTAGTCTTCTATAAGTTCCTAAACTAGTAGATAGATTGTTATGAATTTTGGTATATAATTTGGTATTCTAAGGTCGCCAGAAGCTTGTGCTATAAACAAAAAAACCTTACAAACGACATTTCAATAAAGTGCTTACTTAGGTGATGTGCACTTAAATACGACCAAGGCAAGAGAGTGATGAACTACATCAGGGATTGCGAACCAATAGCGATGACAATATTTTGGGCACCTCACAAATAACATTTACAATGCAATTTCAAATTAAGAAATAGGTATTTTAAATAGTGGAAGGCAGTGAACCCTACACGAATGTTCCACTTAAGTCTTAATTATTACAATTCTATGACCTCTTTTAACATTTTTTTAGAAAACCTTTACTTTGATACATAAAGGTTTGCCACCCCTGAACTAGTGGATACTCATTTACTGATCTACTTTGTAATACAAACAGCTTCTTAATTATCTCGTAATATTCCCTCACCACAATAGACGGATACACACGTCACGACAACGCACTAAACTCGCCGAAGAATAAATTATTTATATTCCGTTTGAACATCAATAGAATAGGGCTAGTTACATTTCACATCTTCGATCGAATATTATAAGAAATAAATCAAGTGAGTTACTTAAAAAACTAAACTTCTAGTCAATTTAAAAAGTAATAAAAAATGAGACCTGCAGGAAAAAACATTTGATTGAAAAAAAAAATCGGAGCACCAGGAACGGAGTTACGCAGTAACAAACATAAATACAGACGAATTGATAACCCCCTTCTTAATGAATTCGGCTAACACTTAGTAATAAATAAGAATATAATCGGTGCTTCACTTAACTCTTAAACAATTGTGAACAGTTGACACATCAGCAGAGATCCTCATCCACTTAAAATAAATCAAATTCAATAAATCAACTGCTGCTGTTTTACAAAACAATTTCTAGTATAAATACTATTCAAACAATATATTTGTTAACTCATTAGATTGATACAATCGTGTAATATTTCATGGTGCTAGTGTGTAAACACCTTAAGGTTAAAATTTTCGTTTGATTATAAAAAAAAAATCGATCGTGACACGTAAAGGGGCGCTCTCCCGCGCTACATTTTTTCTCAAAGGTGAGCTACACACCTGCCGTATAGACTTATAAATGTCATAGAAGTGACTATAAATTATAAACATTCTTTTTTAACTTAAAGAATAGACAACTTACACAATAGGTACAACT